GTCTGAACCAGGACTGGACCAGGACTGAACCAGGACTAAACCAGAACTGAACCAGGACTAAACCAGGTCTGAACCAGGACTGGACCAGGACTGAACCAGGACTAAACCAGAACTGAACCAGGACTAAACCAGGACTAAACCAGAACTGAACCAGGACTGAACCAGGACTGAACCAGGGCTAAACCAGGACTAAACCAGGACTAAACAAGGACTCATCCAGGACTAAACAAAGACGAAACCAGGACTGAACTAGGACTGAACCAGGACTGGACCAGGGCTAAACTAGAACTGAGCCAGGACCGAACCAGAGCTGAAACAGGATTGGACCAGGCCTAAATTAGGACTGAACCAGGTCTAAACCAGGACTGAACCAGGTCTAAACCAGGACTGAACCAGGTCTAAACCAGGACTGAACCAGGTCTAAACCAGGACTGAACCAGGACTAAACCAGGACTAAACCAGGACTGAAATAGGGCTAAACCAGAACTGGACCAGGACTAAACCAGGACTAAACCAGAACTGAGCCAGGGCCGAACCAGGAGTGAACATGGACTAAACTCAGACTAAACTAGGACTAAACCAGGTCTAAACTATGACGGAAGGACTTTTGGGATTTGAAAACAAAGTTAAATTAGAGAATACACAAAATTTGTAAACCTAAACAAAAAAAACAAAACAAAAAAAAACTTAAATACTCCAGACCGACACCAGGCTCAGATCCGGGTTTGGAGCTGTGGCAAAGTCTCCAACTTTTCTCTTCTGATGTTTAAGAAATGAAGTGAAGAAACAACTGCTCCAACAAAACCGTTTTCCCTCACGTCTGAGAGGATGAAGAGGACGGAAAAGAACAAAGAAAAGAGAAGGATCAAGAAAGAAGATGAAAAGAGAGAGGAGAGAAATAAAGATAAGAGAGAAAGGAGAGAGAGAAACTTACCACATTACTTATATTTTAAAATTACACAAAAACAAAGGCTGACAGAGGGACGATGTCTGTGGTGTTTGCATTAAAGGTTGTATGGAGGATTTTTTTTAGTTTCAAACTGTCAGTGAAAGATTAAAATAACATTACAGAGACGCAGCAGCTTTGTAATTATGATGACCAAAAAAAAAAAGAACGAAAATCTATCAACTGTGGACGTAATGAGGCCAGATAAACGTCAGCCAATAGAAAACGAGGCTCCCTCATTTTCTATTGGCTGTTAGGTTGTCAATCAAACTCCCTAGTATAACTGACTCGTCGGAGCGCGGGGATTACGTGGTTTACGCGGCGGTTCTTAGAGGCTTTTTCAAACTGTCGCTTCCTCGCATTTCGCACAAAGTTTGTCGCGACGGCGGACGAGAATCCACGACCGGTTCGCCGCAAAAGAAAGTCCATTTTTGAGGTCGCTGAAAGAAGAAGAGAAGAGGAAAAGGAGCAAAGCCAAACTGAGGTGATTCTTGGAGATCTCGTCCAGCGATGGCGCGACCGAAGCAGACGAAGGGTCTAAAAACTGACGCATCAGTCGCTGAATTACTTCTAGACAGGTCACTTCAACAGTAATTCTGAACGCGCACAAGCACTGTCACTGTATTTCTCTTCCCTTAAAAAAATCCTCTATACAACCTTTAATGAGGCCAAAGTTACTTCACCGTTTCAGTTTCAGAGTCTGTGCTGTTCCCCTTTTCCTTCCTTCCTTTGTAAATATTTGAGGTCGTGAAGAGTGTTGCGTTTATTTTTCCGTCTCAGCTATGACCTAGACTTATTGTGAAAGGTACGGAAGCCGAGAGGGGTCACAACAAACGCGAACGCCGCAACAAATACAAATGCGACAACACAACAACAAAAAAAGCCACAACGGAAATGACCGCGGGACTCTATTTTAATGCAAACGCCGCAACAAATACAAACGCCACGACACAAACGCAAATGCCACAACACATTTAAAAGCCGCAACGCATTAAGCACAACAAAAAGCCACAACAAACCAAAAAAAAAAAAGCCACAACAGAAATGACCACGGGACTCTATTTTAATACAAACGCCACAACACAAATGCCGCAACACATTAAAAAGCTGCAACACATTAAAAAACACAACACATTAAAAAGCCACAACACATCAAAAAAGCCACAACACATTAAAAAGCCACAACACATTAAAAAGCCACAACACAACAAAAAGCCACAACACGCCAAAAAAAGCCACAACGGAAATAACCGTGGGACTCTGTTTTAATGCAAACGCCACAACACAAATGCCGCAACACATTAAAAAGCTGCAACACATTAAAAAGCTACAACACATTAAAAAACACAACACATTAAAAAGCCACAACACAACAAAAAGCCACAACACGCCAAAAAAAGCCACAACGGAAATAACCGTGGGACTCTGTTTTAATGCAAACGCCACAACACCACAACACATTAAAAAGCCACAACACATTAAAAAGCCACAACACATCAAAAAGCCACAACAACATTAAAAAGCCACAACAAATAAACAAAAAAAGCCACAACA